AGGGTGATGTGTTCAGATTGCCCTAAACACCAGTATCTCTCAATCTGGTTCTGGCATGTAGCTCCAAGCTGGAGCTTGGGAGCTGGAAGAGATATATCCAGAGCAGCATAATGATTTACTGGAGTTAATAACTCATGCTCAAGGCAGGCTTAAGTACTCGACCTGCACCACGGGGCTATGCTGCTCATGCTTCTCACATCTCAGTGCCAGGTGCACGTGCCAGCTCTGGTGCCTCTAACGATGCTGCACGCTCATCTAGACCTTAACTTTGTGCCCATCACAGCGGTCTCAGAAACCTCAGCAGGGCTATTTTTTCTAGTTTAGGAAAGGACACCTTATTCCCCTCTACCATTACGGTACCCCTGCTTTACTATGAGTTCCTAGGTACTCCTGGGAGCAAGGGTGAGATTCAGTAGAGGATTAGGACACTGCAGGTATCTGCATGTGAGCTGGTTTCTAAGCTCCCATTTCAGTGACCAGAGCAGTCAACAGAGTCTAGAGAGTGGCGCAATGCCCTCTCAAGCAGACTAAACTGTGCTATAAAGGTAAAGGTCTGAATAAAGATCAGAGTATGATCGAGTCGCCTAAGCACAGGCAGCTAGTGCTACTTCACATGGTCCAAGGTATCCTGCTTGGCCTCCATCTGCCACTCCAGAAGGAAGGTCTCCATAGGTCTTCTGTTACACTTGCCAGCTCTGTGTGGATATTCTGGACACCTTGGTGTGGTACTAAATGTGCATGTTTAGGCAACTAAAGCCTACACATTCTAGTGGCGTCAATTACTCATCAGACGTGATGTCTGTTGACTTGGGGCTGGATTCAGTTGCCCTCACATAGCGTCCAGTGACATTTGAGAAGCTCTAGAGCCCATGTGACACCCAGAACAGCAGGTAGACATGCCATGGGGTGCGCAGTCCTAGAGCAGAAAGAAGATCGAGACTCAGAGAACATTTCAGGGTGACTAAAGCAGTGCTAAGCAGCAATGCATCACTATCCAAAGTGACTCCTGGATTACCATCAACTGTAGCAGGAGTTGAAGCACAGAGCTCACGTGTAGAAATATTGAAGCAGGTGATTTGATCTCAAACCGAATCCCACCCAAGCAGCCTGAATAACGGTCTGGCAAACACATTATCACGCTCCTACAGCAGAGTATTATTACCACTCATTTTCACTGCACATAATACAAATCAGGTCCTTACTGCCTGAAGTACAGAAACCCTAAAAAGGTTTCCTTGTCCTGTGAGCAAGAAATTGTAGGAACTCATTTATATTAAAGTCATTTAAGCCCTCAGGGCTGGGAATTCCTCATATAGCAAATGGAGAATTGAGATTTGACAAGCATGTGCAGCTCCTGCTCAACAAGCCCAGAACAAGCTGATTTGGAAAGCAGAACAGGAAACTACTGCAGTGAGTCGCCTCACCCTTGGGAACAGGGAAGGATTACAGATGAAATCAAAACCTTCCACCTTTCAGAGATGTATTCATTAACCCGGTGACAAAGGGCATGTTGCTTGGCGCTCTTAGTCTCACTGGTAGTAGGAATCCCTCCGTATTCCTCAGCAAGACACATAAAAGCAACAAATGAAATAATAACAGATCTGCCAGCAAAAAAAAAAAAAAGTCTTTTGTGTGAGTGTGTGAGTTGAATAGCACTGAAAACTTGGAGGAAAGGAGGGCCAAGTTCATCTCTGGGGAAGCAGGAAGCAGTTTGTCCCTCTTCTAGGCAGCCAGGTGGAAACAAACACATACATTTTCATGGCGAATATATGAAAATGAACTCCAACTGGAGGCAAGGCAGCAGACTGCTACCTTGCTGCTGGATTCTCTTCCACCTCGCTCTCTGGAGCTGCTGGTGACATCCAGCTGGCCTCAAGTTCTCCAATTAGTGTCCTGCTCAGCAAAGCACTAAGCAGCAATACAAAACACTCCAGCTGCCCATGGCTGACAAATATAAGGCCAAAAACATCATGAAAATGCATGAGCCTTCCGTGCTCAGGTTTGCTTGTCTAAGACAGTGAGTTTGGGTCAGCGCACACCGTCTCCATATAAAAAAGCATTAGGGAGTGATGGGTGAAGCAGCCTCCGAGGTATTTCGGTGTGTCTGCTCTCCTCCTCGTTGCATTAGCATGTCCTGCTGGGATCTGACACAAAGCCGGTATCAGCACTGTTGGTTTCTGCTTTGTTATGTAAAAGGTTTTTGTATTTTGTTGTTGATGATTGCTCCAAGGTAAATCCATCCCCCTGCTATGTTTTTACCCAGCACATTTTTAAGTATTCAGGCAGAATGGCAAAGCTGATCATAAGGCTGAATTTTTAGACACAGCTTTGTTTTAAATAAATATGCAAACAAATAGAGCCTCTCCATACTACTTTAATATAAAAACATTATTTTGAGTAGTGGTAGAAAAAGCAAGCCATAAAATTTATGCTCAAGACTAAACGAAAATGCAGAGCATGAACATTGCACAGAGTGGATAACACGGCAGTTAGATGTGTCCTGGCAAAAACAGTTCTACTACACCGTCAAAAAGTTATTCATGCTGACAAGCCATGAAATGTTTGCACAAGGAGAAAAGGAACAGAAGTAGGAATGCTTTAATGCTGCGGCTCAGTGGAGTTGCTTTTTCCTGCAGTGTTGTGTAACTCTGACAGTTGTATAAAAAGGGGGGAAAAGAAAGGAAAGCCCTGGTAGTGTTGGCATGAAAAGACATTTGTCTCTGTGGCAGTTAACAGCTATACAGCTGCTCTCTCTGCCCTCCTGCACAGAAAGAAGATGCTTGTTGTGCTCTGTGTGGTCGTGCTCAGCCAGCCTGTGGTGACAGCCTGACCTCGTTCCAAAGACCCGTAGGTGGTCGGAATAGCACCTGCTTCAAAGTTCCCTCCGCTGTGCAGATGCCACCTACACATTTATTGTTGAATGACTCTCATGCACTCAGGGACCTGAGCCCTGACGAGGTACCAGCCCGTGAAGACAGTTCCCCTAGGCTGGACAGAGTCTTCCTGCAGGTTCACACATAACAAGTTCTGTATTTCCTTCTCAACCGAAACATCAGCTTTGGTCTCATACGCTCAGGATGGATTCAGTTGATGGTGTCCTGAGATATTATGGGTGCTCTCCTCTGGACGGCAGCTATGAACCCTGTAATGGGGACTTATCTCTGCGACCACAGTGCTCCGGAGCAGGCCTTCCAAGTGTCATCGCTGGGACACTGGGACAGGAGATGGCTCATCCTGTGGCAGAGCTCAGCCACTGAAGGTGGCCCGGATCTAAAATGCTTGCTGCCCCATTTTGTGGAGACAAGTTAGATTTAGATCATACCCAGGATAATCACGTAGAATCCAGATCTAAAATGCTTGCTGCCCCATTTCATGGAGACAAGTTAGATTTAGATGAACCATTTCATACCCAGGATAATCACGTAGAATCCAGTGTTAGCACTCTGGGGGAGCCCTGGTTTGTTCAGCCTGGTGAAGGGACAGTTTGGGGAAACTCACTGAGAAGACAGAAGCTCTTTGCGGTACTGCACAGTGGGAGGACTAGGAAAAATGGGCATAAGGCGAAATAAGTGGGTTTCAGTATGTCTAGAAGGAGAAAGCTTTACCTTGAGGCAAATCATGCAGTGAAACAAGCTGTTTACAGAGTCTGGTCATGCTCCATCTCCGATATTTTCAAGACTCCACAGGATACAGCCCTAAACAACCCGGTCTGATCTCAGTGTTGACCCTGCTTTGAGCAGGAGGCCAGACTAGGGACCTCCTAAGGCCCCCTTTTAACTTGAATTATTCCGAGAGTCTCTTAAGCCCTTATGAGGAAGAGAGTGATAAGTACTGAATGACAAGCGGTGCTAAATTTCTTCTTTAACAGTATTTATAGGTTCTGAGATCTATCCACCACTTTGGAAAACACAAAAAGATCCTGGTCCTGTAGCTCTTCTCAAGTAACTAATCCCCACTCCCCCTCGAGCAACAATTAGCCCTTTCAGAGGAGCAAGTCTTAGCCACAAATAACGGCTTAATGGTAAAGCAGCCAACCTGAGTGCAGAAATCAGCCCACCCTTCCTATGGGATCTGGTGGGTGGAGGGGTTGGAAGAGTTTAAGAAAAAGACTGCATTTTCTGTAAATATTTCAATATTCTGTATTATATTTTAGGAGAAATTATTCACTGCTCACAAAATCTCTCCACTTTTTTGGCTTTTAAAAATCATGAAAACCTGAAAATATTTCATCCAGAGTTTTAAACATATTTTCAATAATGCAAAAATTTTCATTTAGTTTAGAATTACTTACTTTAGGGGGAAAAACAAGTGTGGAATGGAAATACTTAATCACCTCTAAGAGATAAGTGTGCATAACTGCCAAATGCACTGACAAAGGCTGACATAACCAGAGGGTTCTTTTTCCATCTCTTCCTTTCTCTTAGCTATTAGGAATGGCCAGAAGCTGATGCATCACCTGTTACAGAGGAACCAGACTAAAAGTAAAACCTGAGCCTACTTGTAATGTTTCCATGAGCAGAGGAGTGGTCGAAGGACTGATAAATCGAATCCTAGAACAAAAGCATTCTCACACATCCATACACATATGGTGAAAATCCTAAGTAATAATAAGTAATAGTGATAAGTAATAGTGGAGAAACAGTAAAGTAACATTTCCCATTAACTACAACAGCATGCAGCCTTGTCTGGGCACATCATAAAAAAGATAATCCCTGAAAATGCAATCTCATAGTTCGCTGGTGCAGAGCCTCACTTCTCCAGAGACAAGGCACTTTATAAGATGCTTTTATGCCTGCAGGCATGACATCATGCTCTGTAGAGATGGCCGAAACCTGCTTCTGATCATAACTAACCTGAGCAGGGGAGGTAGCGGCTTCACTTTATCCTCCGTGACAAGTGTCAGTGACTTTCTTGGATCAGAGGATAGAGGTAGCCGAAAGGTGAGAGGGTTTTGCAGGTGCCAAAGCTGCCTATGATCCAAAAAATCCACAGATACTTACAAGATGTATGCGATAACCCCGATGGACCAGCAGTCCACTGCTTTGCTGTAGGGTTTCTGCGCCAGCACTTCAGGGGCTGAAAATAAAAAGCCAAAAAAGCTCATGTTACAAGACTGAATATTCGAATGCTGCTAAGAGGAAGGACTTGACAGTTGCTCCTTAAACTTCAGGGTTCCCCGAGGCCCTTGTTGCCTCCCACATTCAACCCTCATATCTGCAAAAACGACCTGAACTTTTTAAAGCTGCAGTGTTCAAGCAGAAGGGTGACTCCTGAGGCAGAGCAAATTCCCCATTTTCTGATAACAAGGACGTAAAAAAAAAAAAACACATAAAAATAAAGGAAAGCTGGAGGGCAGAAGGGCCATCAGCTCCCTGCCAGGGGAGCTCTGGGAGACTGGAAGCAAAGGAGCTGGAGCGCGGCACCGCTGCCGAGACGCACACTGGCACCAACAGCTTCGATGCTTCCCAGCACCACACAGCTAAAGGGGCATTTCAAGAGGCAACGCAAAAAATGCAGCGTGTGCCACAGCAGAGAAGTCTCCAGGAGAGGACGTGAGCCGTCGCCCTGCTTCCTGCTACCTGGCTACTGCAGCCACCTGGGTGGCAAAGTCAGAGGGAGGCATTTGGCCTTCTGCCTCTGAGACCAAAGGCACTGTAGTCGCAGGGAGAGACAAAAAGCAGAAATTAAACTCACGCACAAAGGGATTGAGTCTTCTCAGCCTCTAAAACATTCAGACACTATATCATAAATTTTGCTATAAGAGAAAGACTGGGCACCTATTCAAATGCTTTAGGAGTTTTCCTTTTCAAACCACTGATGGTTGAGAACGTGTATTTTTTATTTGGAAGCTTAGAGAAGAATGTTTTCCCTGTTGGGACTTTTTAGCTGTAAATGCTTAAGCCAAAGTTTCAAACCCCATGACTGTCATCTTTTACACGTAAAGAAGCTCTTGTTTTTTCAAGGCAAAGCACCCACAATAATGCAAAAATCACTGCTCATGACATTCCATACTGGGTTTCAAACAGTGCAGTATTTCCTCTGAACAATTAGGGCTTCAAATGCTCTGAGAAAAGGGCAAGTCCCAACACAAATATTTCTTTGGAGTTAAGACATTACTCTGTTAGGAATCTCACCTAGGTCAAAGCAGTTACTTGAAACAGAGAGAAACACGACGCAGTTAAATGCATTAAAACTCGAGCCTCACTTTTAGTTCCTATACATGCCTATAACAGTGATTCTTCAAAGGGTCATCTTTCTAAGCTGGACTAGTCAATAAAACTAAGGCTGGCAAGGAAGGGAACAGAAAGCAATAGTGAGAAACAGAAAAGATCTTCTGGTACTTGGGAGTGGGATTTTATACACATGATTGAAGGGAAGACAATGCACAAGGCAATAAGGTCACTGAGGCTCTATTTCCATAAGGAACACAGTGATGGAAAGAGTCAGGAAAAGGACTCTAAAAGACCTGGAAGTAAACCCAGGGAAAATGACGATAAAGATATAGCTGGCAGTCAGATAAGGATATTTCTTGCAGGTTAGGAAATGCTCCGCTCTGCACTCCCATGTAAATGTCACTCCAGTCTTTGAAACACTTGGAAAACTTGGACCAATGCATGCACAAGAAATTAAAATGTTACTTCTGTTAAATATTGTTAATCCTAACACACTTCTCTAATGTTATAATGTGTGAATATTCCTCACATCTATTTGCTGCTTGCTGAAGGACTTCTCTCCACTGGTGTACCAGCCAACACAGAGCTCCTAACCAAGCTCTAGATGCTCAGCAGAAACCTCCACCCAAGTCCCAAGAAAAACCCAATTCCTTACAGGAGATAGGCACACTGGTATATTCTATCAAGATAAAAGTTAAACATTTTTACCCCAGTAGCAAGTTGAGCTCTGGAAACAGAAAAGGCATCTTCACCACTACATAAAACTTCGTTTTCAACAGCTGGGTTGGGGTTTGCATGTGTTGGACAGACAGCTGGAGGGTGAATTTGAAGAAATTGTCTTACTGAAGTACATTAGAATTGCTCTTGTCTGCTGATGACTTTTTTTTTTCCCCAGAAAACCTGCAAAGTTGGCGTTCACCCTCATGGTGAGGGATGGACTGCCCTGAAGAACTATGTGAATTCACACTTCTCCTGTTCCTCCTTTAAAATGAAGACCCTGCATGTCCAGGATGGCTTTCCTTTTTATCCATCACAACGCAGGGCTCATTTGCCTGAGAGTCTTGCAAATTTACATTTTTCTTGTTTAAACTGGTTCCTCCTCAGAGTTGCTCAGGACAACTTTCCCAGACAAATTATTGTGTCTCTTAGCCTCACTCCTGCTTTCTGACTCATCTAAACTTCCCTCCAGGTTTTCCTCTAGCAAGACTATTTTTTCCAAAACATATCAAATACTGTTTCTGAGACCCAGATTCCCTTTTTTTTCCTCCCTATCCGCTGTGATTGGGTTTTGTGATAAAATCTGCTATTAGAAGGGAATCTGTTTTCCCTGGATTTCTTCCATCTCTCCAGTCTTTCCAAATTTCCAATATTTAATTAGCATCTCTCTTCCGCCTTGAGTGGCTGCTCTTGTTTGCACTGTTTTCAAGAATGTGGTAAACATTATACGTCCTATATTCCCCAAAGGAATTATTATGCTAATGATTTCTGAACACATACCAGTCAGCTCCTGACATTATCCAGACACGCTGTATTAACACAACCGAACACAAACGTGAGCTGAATAGTCTCTCCCTCCTGAACACCAACATTTCTGTGCACATCTTCTTGTCATCCAACGTCTTCAAATGGGTGTGACCCCCTTCTAAGATGATGATGATGATGAGACTTTCCTTCCTTCTGAGTAGTCAAGGCAATTGGAAAGACAGGAAGAATTACCTAGACTGTTATACATTTTTTCTGGATAACGAAGACACTCTACTTCCAGACATTCTTGTGTTTCACCTTTTTTCCCCTTTTTTTTTTTTTAGCTAAGAGAATTTAAAAAGGCTTTTTTTAAAGGGATACATTAAGAAGAGGTTCAGATTAGGCAAGTTTGGAAACATTTCAGAGCAATGTACAGCAATGCTAATATGCTCCCTAAAAATGCAGTTGCTAAATGTGAATAGCTGCAATCCACATTCTTGCAAAGAGTGTAAGTTATGGGGATTGCTCTGATATTTTTAAGCCTGTTGCACAAGCTGTCCAGAGTGTTTAGAGTACTTGTCCTTTGCACTATCCCCATACTTGAAAGTAGTTCCCCTTCACTCCCATGCTGGTACTGCTGCTGGCAGATGTTGCTGTCTCAGAGGGGCTCAGTATAAAGCTATTTTTTTATGGTTTACATGATTTCCCATGAATTACATGCCAGAAGGAACACGGCCTTTGAAAAAAGTGTGACAGTTTTGAGACTTCCCAGAGGAGAGAGAAATCAGGAGGCTGCCTGAAATGTGGAAAGAGTAAAAAGATATAAATAGGGTTAAAACAACTAGGGACCTACTTAGGCTGGGAGAGACATAGCTCAGCTTGCCCAGTAAATGGGACCAGCACAGGCCAGGCATAGGAGCTGAACCGGAATTATTTTAGTGCCATTTCCATGGTGCAGGTAGGTCCTGCAAGGAAATAAGGGCACACATGAAACAGGCTGTGCAGCTATACAGAAAGCATGAATTCCCAGAGGGACAGTGGCTACAGGGCAGAGTTTGCATGTCTCCATACAAAAAGGAGAGCTCACCAGTCCCATTGCTTAGGACTCTTGAAGGCTCTAGAGGATGGACGAATGCAGCATGGAGCTGATGGGCTGGATGCATGAAGGGCAAAGTTATTGTCTGCCCCTGAAGCCAGAGACAGTGCAAGAGCAGCGTGAGATCCCCTGTCTCATACGAAGCATTTTCTTTATGGCACAAGCAGGCTAAGAGATAGGTAAGGTGAATTCTAGACAAGACCAGAGCTCCCTGTGATGTAGAAACTACTTCTTCCCTCCCTCACACCATCCTCCAGCATTCAGCTTGTTCTTGGCCGAGGATTTGCTGCTTGGTGCTCTTTAGGAAAGACAGCGGGATTTCGAGGTGGCCCTGCTGGTTTCTTATGCTCCTCTTCTTCCTTTTTTCCCCGAGTGAGTGTTAAGAAGCCAGCACGGGACACAAGCAATTACAACCATGCACAAACCAACCATGTTTCAGCGCACGGCGATGAAGCTGAGCGCCGAACCCTTGAGCTGCAACCAGCCTATCCTGAGCAAACTGATGAGCTTGGAGGCCATGCTTTATTTTTACTTCATTACTCACATTACTGCCTAAACAGCTCCTGGAGTTGCTTTTTGCTAATAAGGATATTCTGAAAGCTTATTGAGTACTTTCAAGCCTTTGACTCAAAGGATACCAAGTAAGTCAAAAGTAAACATGGAAATCTATTGTTTATTTTATAATGCTTTGGTCCTGTGCCAGGCTAAGAAAAACGCATGGTTTTGGTATGATCTGGAATTTCTATGGGATTTTTGGCAGAGCCGAAAGGTGTGAAACGACCTTTTAGAAAGGCTTTATGGAGAATAAAAACAATAAGCAAGGTGGTCTGTACAGGGATCAACCACATATCCAGGGTACAACCCAACCCTCCTTACTATGGGAAAATGTAAAAACAAAAAATTCTTCAAGTTGGGTTGGCCTCAGAGCAAGAATTTAAAATCTCAGGAGGATTAAGCTATTAGCCAGCCACAAATGCGGTTTATAACTCAGTATTTCGACAAAAGGAAATCAGATTGCCCGAGACTTTTAAACATTTTTTACAAAGCTTCCAAATCTCCTAAGCACCTTAGACTCACAAGTCTAAGTAAGTCCCACCTGGAGAAGTAACTAAAGTCCTTGAGAGACCGAAAGTCATGGAAAGTCATCCAGCAAGACCTAATTCCCCAAATCACTTTAGAGCAACATGGTGAGTGACTGCTTAGCGCCCACTTGAAACATTTCAGTGAAGATTGATTTCAGGCAGTTCTGAACACTTCCTCCACCAAAATCAAGCTCCTACCAAAGGCATGAAGCCCAGCAGACCGAAATTTTGATGTTGAAAATGGCAAATCACTAATGCCTTATACAGATCTTACTCATAGCCACACTGATCACTCAGGAGCTTTGAAAACCTCACTTCTCTAGTCTAGAAGTTAGGGTGGCATCTATGCAAGCTAATCCACCCATCCAATTTGCAATTAGATGAACTATACAAGTGCGTTCACCTCTCCTAACTTAGATGCCACCTAAAAATGGGCCACTGGGTCCTAGCTCCCTCCATAAGAAATAGATAGGTAAGAGTAGTAAGCAGCTAAGAGTGACAGTTCCTAACTGGGAAAATGAGATTGAAATGGCACAATGTCTAGCAATGGCTAGCAGGCTGGAAAATACTAGACCTGAAAAGCAGTAGACCTGAGTTAAAGGCCCAGATCTGGTACCAAGTCAGAAGTTTGTAGAGCATTTTGCAAAATGGGGTCCTGCTTGTTTGATTTCTGGAGATAATGATGTATATAAATAGGAGTAGATATTAACGGATTCTTAATGAAGGCCTGGCACCTTTGGCTTGTGACATATTCCTAAGAATTTTTCAGGTATTAAAAAAAAAAAACCTTAAAAAATGGAATGTTTCATGTACCTTTAAAGAAAAGCATCAGAAATTACGTTGCAACCTAGGAAAAAAAAATCAAAAAGAGGAGTAGAAAAGGAACTTCACAGGCTAGGACAGTGGCACATCGCCTTGGCCTCAGAGCAGGATACATAACCATTTTGTGCTATTAGGGGCAAGGACTGCTACGTTTATTTGGGGACATTAGGCAAGTCCTAGCAACACTGCAAGGCACAAGAGCTTTCTGCTGCAGACAAACTGCAGCCCATGTATGCAGAAGATATGCAATCAGGTATAACACTAACAGAGGCCTATTTGTGGCCATAATCATCCTGAAGGATAAGAAAAATGTCCTTGCTTGGAGAATGTTGTCTGGGTAACTAATTATGTAAAAAAGTAGCACTGAAGAGGAGCTGTTTCTCATAGAAAAAGGAAAAGAAGTAGAAAAAATATGTAAAGTTTTCTTTCTGAGAGAGGGGAAAAACTTGAGTGAGCACTTGTGAAACCAGCTGCCATGACCTCCTGAACTGCAACGAGAGGATCCCGTATTCAGTAATGAAGGGCCTGAGGAACTTGCGTCTTCACTATCAACCAAACCCGTGATGAGAAGTCTGAAGATCTCTCTCCAAGGACTACAGCTTTGGTCACATGCTCTGAGAGCTTCCTTTCGAAAATACCGAGTTTTCTTATATAAACAGCTTCACTCAGAACTCTTATGAGACTGCTGTCTGCCAAAGCTCCCTCATTTTCATCAGCAGTTCAGTAAACAAAATACTCACTTCCATACATCTTGCAGACTTATTTTGGTCAGTGGCCATTTAAGAACCAAATAAAACATGTTAATTGAGGAAAGAAGAGCTAATGACAGTAAAACTTACAAAGATTGCTGGCTAAGATTGACTCCTGCTAGGGCTTTGAAAGAAGATTTCCAGTCTGGTGTGATGACACAAAATAGCTGTTTAGGCTGTACAGAACCTGACTCATATTTCTTAAAATAATAGGCTGTGATGGCTTCGTGATGGGAAACTGAAGAAATCTGTGCCTTTCTCTAAGGTTATCAGCATAAAATGTGTCTGTGCAATGTGAAGATATTGCACTGAAAAAGACATTCCTGGGATGAATCCCATCTCTGTGTCATAGCTGCATCATCTGTTCGTGTTCTTATACCCTGATAACAACAGAGATATGAAAACTGAGGCGACGTGGCAGCTGCAAAGCAGAAAGAGTTGTGCTCATGGTCATTATCCACATGCATTTCTGTATCAAGTTTTCTCCATCCTTACCATCAGCATCTCCAAAATTAATCCACGAATATTGGACCAAGGAGAAGAAGAAAAAGTAATGAAGATGAAGATAAAACACATTTGTTGTCAGTGTAACTTTCTGCAAAAAGCCTCATCTCAAGTGGCTCTCTAAATAAGACATGATCAGTGCCCTCTCTCTGACCACTATAGAAAACATTGGCTCCTTTCTCACCAAGATTTGAGACAAATGGATCCCTGGAGCAGTGTCAGTTATTTCAGTTTCACGGATTTACTGGCAAATACTCCAGACATTAATTTTACTCTCTAACCTGGCTATCTAGATATCAAAACAGGCACAGGCTTGCTGGATGTTTCATGAAATATGAAGTGAGCTTTCTAAATACTAGTTGCTCAAACAAACCTCATAATCATCTTGCATATACTCCTTACATTCAGTTTCTTTAGAAGGACGCTGGCAAATGCTGTGCAAATCAGCATTCTTGCACAATCACAACTGTGACGCGCAAAATTCCTGGCAATATGTGCCAAGAAGCAATTTGCTGCTGGCATGGAGGACTCAGGGATCTAAAGAACCTTTACACACTTATATTTTAGGAGTCAGTAACTTGATGCAATTGTAACAGAGGACTGTTGGAGAATGAATGCAGCTCTTCCATTTTACTGTCTTCTATCGGGGGAATCCTGGAAACAAAATCCTTTACTATTAAAATAATATCCCAGGTAAATATGTTAAGTAAAACATCTTGGTATTATAAGTACTTGCAGAATAGATGAATTTGCATACTCTTCTTGTATTTCTAATTTAATCGCAGGTATAGTCTTTAAGAAAACTAATTTTGCAAAAGATAAAATCATCAAACCTAACCCCACAATCCCTGAGCTGGCAAAGTTCCAGCGAAGTTCATGAATTGCAGGATTGGGACCTAAAGGAGAAGAGCATGCAAGACAACACCGTAAACTTCTCACAACCTCTAGTTCTAAACTAACATCTGAAAAGTCTTATGCGTACTAGAAAACAAGTACCATTCCCTTTACTGCTTTCGTTTTACTCTGTTTTTACGCTGCAGCAGGGAACAGCAGCTGGTTTGTATAACCAAACAACTTACCAACATATCCAGGAGTCCCGCAGGCTGTGGACATGACGTCTCCTTTACCCTCCATCTTTGACAGCCCAAAATCACTGATCATGATTTTTGATTCCTCATCCTGGCTATAGTAAAGCAGATTCTCAGGCTAGAGGGAAGAAAAAGCATAGTGAGTCTTGAGTATGGAAGTGCAGGAACATTTGTTGGCCGCTGCTTTGTGTTTAATGTAATTCTCAAATACATCTTATGCTAACAACATTCAGTCCCCCTAAGTAAGACTTATCCCCTATTCCTGAGGAATCTTCAACATACAACTTCATAGCAGTAAAACAGAGGGATTTATTAGAAGGCAGGGAAAATGGCAAATCCAGGTAGTCTACTCAGCTCTTCCTATAAAGCTGCACTTGGGGCTAAGCAGTAGTTAAAAAGAAAAAAGAAAAAGAAAATGAGAACTACTAGGTGTTAGAGAATTTTTACATCTTTTCCATTGGAAATAAATATTACGAGAGAGGAAATGCCTTTAAAGTCAACAGAGTTACAGCAAGGATGTTTTAGCTAGAGCTGATTAGGAAAAAATGCTGACAACAGTGACTTGTTTATGTTGATTGAAAACAAGAGTCACTCCACAAAGCCCCATGAACTTGCACTGATGTCAGTCTGGTTTAAGAGCCCAACCAGTCTTTGGATGCCAATCCGCTACAGCACTTGCTAATCCTCAATACATATGTTTCCAATAAGCTACTGCTATACGGCAAAATCTCTTGCTGAGGGAACACACTCCACAGGGCTGCTGCCTGCTTAACATCCCAGCTCCTCCTGTTCCATGGCATGACCCAGACCTTGGGCTCTCTGCACGGAACAGTGATGGATAACCAACATTTCAACATAACCCTGGAAAAGAGTTTTTGCCCAGAAGCTGGTAGAAATGTCTACACAAATCCAACAGAATTTGTCTACCAATCTGTTATGGGTTCCAGCCATAGGTTTCCAGGAAAGGATATGAGGCAGCTTTGCAACATCATTAAATTCCTTGGGTCAAATCCAGGCTTGGATTTTGAAGGAGGAGCAATGCTACTGCAGTCAGGGACATTGGTTAACATCAGTTGGCACTCTCCCTTGTAGCACAGCTGAGGGCATTGGGCTCATTTTTCGGTTTCCTTCAACTGTTTATGCATTTTTCCCTCAGGTATTTCCACCCTCATGGTGAGACTGGAGAGCAAAACATAACCAGTGCCATTGGGTGGCCTGAATTTCAGCATTTGCAGAGCCCTGAGGTTTTAAGGGGAGAAAACAGGCTGAAGAGGCACATTTGACACAAGAGCTGTGAGGTCACCACTTATAGCACCATGGGGGCCTTCATGATAAACTTCTGCCTGGGGTGAAGAAGCAACAGGGGAGCGACATCCTTTCCATGCTACTCAGAGGTTCCCTTTTTACCTGGAGCTGTGGCTAAAGAACTCAAGAGAGTTGTTCTCCTTACATATCTTCTCGAGACACCTCATAAGTCCAGTGCTTTAACTCGTCTTTATAATGCTGACACTGTTTCAGGCACCACATGAATCAGTTTTATGCCACTGACTCCCTTTGGTAGAGCTACTCCTCGTTTTCACTAATGTACATCACCCCACATATACATTGTGCCTCCTGATTTACAGCTAGGTCCTAAATTTCACTTGACTGCTTCATTACGATTGTCCCTGAAATTACTCCACGCGTTTTCTTGGGCTCTCATTTCGCCTGGTTAGTTAGATAGTTCTTAGCCTTGCACACTAGCACTGCTTTGGATTAATTACAACAAACAGGATTGAACTTCCATTAACACTCTTACTGAATTTCCCACTCCTCACGGCCGGTTTTAAAAGCTGGCAGCATTTCAAGACTACAGAGCTAAAGAGAAGCTCCTTGTGCTGCACCAGCTCTGGTACCCATCCACTTTGGTGGAGTCAGTATTATGGGAAAGGTGCTTTTTGCTAATCATTCTACTGACTCATCTCAGGTCACCCATGTACTCATGCTTAGCAATGCGAAGGAAGTCACCCGTTTAAACCAGAACGAAATAAGAGCAATGCCACATTTTATTAATTATCTGGTTAATTCAAAAGCATTCAGTAGACAGCTATGTCTCAAGTGGAGTTGCTCAAGCCGCTCAATTATTTTGTAAGTACAGGACTTCACTGGGCTTCATCTGCTGCTATCTGTCGTTGTCTTCTGCTGTGTCATTCAGACCACAGTTCTGAAGCAGGGATCTACTTTTCCTAACCACACCAAGCATTAACGTGCTGTCTGAAGAATGCATAATTACAGTTATTAATTGTTAAATGTATTTCAAAGGTTGTGTTTTTACAGAGTGGATTTTTTCCCCTTGTTTCATTCTGGGGAGTTACGGTTCAAATCTTGCACTTATCTTGATGTTTTGAGATCATAAAGAGCCTTATCATTCCCTCATTCTTTTGCCATCGTGGTATGTTTATCTAACAGAAACTCACAGCAGGAGAGCCTCAAACTCCATATCTTATGAGTCATTTTAACGGCAGATATGACACCAACACACACTTTCAGACAAAAAGAAAGAAAGAGAAGAACTAGTCTGTGCCTCAGAACACTGCTGGAGAAGGAGGCTTGCTTGATCTAAATTCACCATGTCCTTAAATAAACTCTGAAAGTATTTGGCAGCCAATCATCAGATTTCAGATTTTATTGTGGGAAATTTTAATAAGATTAAGTAGTTTTAAAGTGAGAGCTACAGCATTCCTTCACAGAATAAAGATAGTTCAGACCATGTAGGGCCTTGGACTGCCTTCCTAAATCTACAGTGGCAGAAAAAAAAAATATTTCCTCCAAATTGAATGTGTGAGAAAGCTGATCAAGATAAATACCACTGAAGTGGTGTGGAATTATAAGAAAAAAAAACCAATAATTTCACATAAGGCAGAATAAGATCAGGAAAGGAACAGGAAATGCAGTCTGCATGTGGAGACTGCAGAAGTTAAAAGACTAATCATGTCTCCTTATGGAGAACTGATTATTGGAGAGTTTTACAGCTAAGTTGTAAAATGCTGAGGAGGAAGAATCATCTGCAGGCATCAGCACATCTTGCCCTTCAGCAGACTTGCCTAAAAAATGTGCCTAACCCAGATTATTTTGGGGTATTTCTACTTTTGGCAGGTCTACACAGGCTTCTTGCCCAGCACAGATCACCCAGTTGTCGTTACGTTTAGAGGGGTCCAGGATTGAGGCAAGCCACTTGGAAGAGGCAGGTGTGGAAAAAGAACAATCCTGTCGGAATCACCCCTGTATTGCAAAAAAAAAAAACAGATTTGGACTCAAAAAAAAGCAAAAGTAAATGACTACACTGAAGCTTTAGCAAAAAGAAGCTATGTGTGCTTGCCCCGAAGGGTCGCTAATGGGCACTGCTCCATCTTAAAAGTGTGTAGAGCTGGCGGCTACACTTGTAACAGGCTCAGTTTTGGCTCACATTTTTGAACAACGCTGTAATTTATTGCTTTACTCCAACAAGCATTTTTATATCAACACTAATTTGGGATGAGATAAAAAGAAAACAAATAGTATCTCTCAACACTCCAATTTTTCATCAATGGTAAGACAAACCATGAGGTTACATTCCAGTCACCACAACCATTACTAGCAGAATTTGCCAAAAAAAGCCCACAAACATACTAGACTGCATTAAAAATGCAAATAATTAAAAATGCATTTTATGCAAAATTACATTTAAAAGGTGAAAAATAAAATAGACTTGTGGCTTGCAACTGACAAAATTGTTATTTGAGAATAATTGAAGACTCCTGTTTGGAGCACCCCTGCAAACCAAAACCAAAGATGTAATTTTATTCACTGAGTTCTTAATTTCTGTCACTAACTTTTGGTAGAATTAATGAGTCCAGGAACTGAACCCACTCTTTTATTTTGACATTTGTACATTTTTCTAATGCTTTCTGTTAATTTATTATTTATTATTTAAGATACCTAAGGATGGGAACGTTTAGCTGAGCATATTATAAAATTCAGACCCGTCTGCTTATCTTAGTAAGAGCTAAAGATAAAAGGATAAAGATAAGGCTTTTTTTTTCCAGAAAGGTGGAGAACTGTTGATGTGATAACTCAGTACAGCTAAAAGAACAATTACCTAAAAATCACACTAGCACACATTTGCTAAAAGCATCTTTGCTGTAGAAAGTGTTCAAAAATACACTGGACCAAATGGCAAAATATGAAATGATTTCACCTTCCCACACGATTTATTATTATTAAGTAATTATTATTAAGTAAAAGTAAATATAGCACTGCAAATCTGACACTTTACAGCAATAAACACTTATATCTCAGCTGGGAAAAGCTGCTTGTCAGGATGTAATGTTTCATGTCTTCAGGTGGGACCTTTTTCCTTGCATCATGTTTGCTAAATTCCCCCAATTGTAGCAGAGCTGCTTGCAAAAGTTGTCAGTTAAATAAACTATGGTGGAAGATTCTTTCAAAATACCCTTCTTGTGATAAATCCTTGCTGAAACAGCTAGTCCCAAGGAAGGCTGGAGTTCCAGGATTCGGATTGCCATAGCTAGGGCCCTCACTGGCACCAGAAGCACGGGAAGCAGCGGCCGTACCTTGAGGTCCCTGTGCACGATGCCCATCCTGTGCAGGTAGTAGACGGCGTCCAGCACCTGGCGTATCAGGGTGCTCGCGTCCTTCTCCGTGTAGAAGCCCTTCTCGACAATGCGGTCGAAAAGCTCTCCCCCGGACACCCTGGAAAACACAACGGGACACACAAGCGTGAAGACTTGCTTCATAACTCTTGGCAGGGTGCCCAGGTGGCCTCATGCAGTCCGAGCACACGTCCACTGAGAGTCCCGAGGCTCAACGGGCATTTGGACTTGGGTCTTCTCAGAGACCGAGGACTGGTCAGAATTAGCTGGGGGAGAAAGGCTATATGTACCTTAGAGACCAGAAGAAGAGCAAAGGGAAATGTAAAGAAGCAAAACCAGAGATTTTCATGCTATCATGGGGAAAAAAAAATCCATCCCACATCAGATAGTGGCCAAAGACTCACTAGAACCAGCAGAAATCACAACTCTACACCAGCAGGAGCCAGGATGACCATCACCCGTGTCCCTGTTCTCCCACTCTACCTGTACAGGCAAATTAGGTCAGTCATTGCCCACTGGGGTTTTTGAGGTCCCTCAGCTCCCAACAGCACTTTTCCTTTCCCTTTTCCCCCTCTTTGAGTGAAGTGCAGATGGTAACTACTGCTATGAGTTCTTTGAAGGACTTTGTCACCTCATGTTGGGCAAGGGCAGTTTTAAATACGTTCAGGGTTCCCCCATATACGTTCATTTGCTAATAACTGCAAACTTGTATGAGTCTTTACTTAAGCTCTGATTGGCACTAAGAGAAGACAGTTATTAATGAGAGAGCACAGATTATGAGCAAAATTAATCACCAGATGACAAAAGTAGGGAAAAGATTCAACAACTCAAAGAGGAAATAAAAAAACAAAACAAAACCTTGACATCCCACTATTTAATGTCTGCTATATTGTGCTTTTGTCCTGCACTGGTGTAAGTAATATGTTCTGAACCCAATCTTAAATAAATATGGACACATTAAAATCTCTGGAGGCCTTATTTGGGGAAACAAAAGAGGAAAGAAATTTTGAGTAACTGAAATAATAAAACTGTCAGCAAAAAAACTGCCCTACTAGGGTAAATAAAAGATTTCCATTTTAACAAGCAAAACCTATTAAAAAATAAAATGAAGGTGATATATTTTTTCAGCAAGTTCCACCACTTAGCATATCATAAATGGCACAGTAAAACCTTAAAAAAACTAATAAAGGGAAAATAATAAATGATTACAGTCATTAAATATATATGGACTTGGAGCTTGCTGTTATATAAATATAAGTAATTCAGTTGCAGTCACTGCAAGCAATAATCAGCTTGAATAATGCCATGAAGTCACCTCCTAGCAAAGTTTGGAGCCTGAGTGAAAGAGAAGGCTGCCACTGAAAATGAACACATTCAATTTGGAAACTGCAAAGAAATCTGGGAAGGAAAGCCTTAAACTGGATAATCCATGCATTAAGTGCTAGGCAAACAAACCGAATGGTCTGCTAAAATGCTGGTGTTAAACAAACTATGCAGCGAAGGAGACATTTACCCAGGGCTCAATCCCAACAGCACTGTATTGAACATAAAACATCTTCCCATTTCCAGTGGGACAACAATCAAACCTTCCAGGAAGTTCAGCTTGGTGATCCAAGCTTAATCCAGCTCTGATGAAGCTCAAGGCCCTTGGCCATCCCAATGGTCTCGGGGTTGATGTCCACTGTTGTCAGCACCGAGTGAGACTTGTTCATGTAGTTGTGTTGGTAAAACGAGAGAAAGGTCCTCGTGCCCCAGCAGAGAGGAGAGCCTGGAGCTCTGCTACAATGGGAAGACGCCAAGGCTGTCCTTGAAGAAGCTCCATCACATTGAAGCCTGCTCTAAGGTGACACTCTTAAACTATGCAGAAAACCTAGCTACATAGACACAGATTATTTTGCATTATATATACTGAGTGAGGGTGCAGACTGAGCAGGGAAACATGGAAGCGAGTGTTGCTGCAAGTCCCTCAGATCTCTGATTGCCTCCATATCCAATGCTGCTCCATGGGCCCTGACAAGCAAGAGCAGAGAATCCTCCTGGTCCTTCGCAGAAGGTAGATATAGATTTATTGAATCTGGCTTGTATTAGCTCACTGTCTTTTCCTGTTTCCCCTGTGGCCCTTTTGTTTCCCATGGATTGATTGTACTGAAAATTGAGCCCACGCAGTAATTAGCCTGACTGTATACAGCACATTTCCCCATGAAATCTTGGTGCGTGCTGTTCTGCAATTTCACATAGTTCCTCTGGATATAGTCAAGAGATGTTTTATAGATACCCATTTACATCATGTGCTTTCCTACACAAGGACTCTCTCCTTCCACGTTCCCAGAGAGTATAATTCCATACACATTTTTTTCACTAAAATGACAAACTTCCCTTCCTTTCCCTTCCCTCTGCACGTCAACCTTTAATTACAAGCGTTTTTCTACACAAATTTACTTCTGTGTATCTACCATCCCCAGGCTAAACCCATTTACAATTTTCTTTCATCACAGACAATGTATTTTGAACCCTTTGCATGAAGCAAAACCTTAAATCAAGGACTCAGGAGCAGCAGTCACTAGCTTGCAGCCACCTGCTGACTCAGTGTTGGAGATGCAGAGAGCTGAAGGACCTACTTCACAGTGTATATGACTGTGTATATGTTAAGGTACATGGGATTTACATTAAATATTCTCACTAGCTCACCCATAAGGTCCCACTTTGCAGACAAGTTTCACGGCCAGGGTTCAGCTCCTGAGGATGTTCTGCAACGTGGCATCTGAGTGATACCTACTTTAGTAACGATCTGGGCCAGGACAGAGCAGCCTGTGTCCACCTGGCTCTTCCCTTCCCGAACAGGGTCAACTCAACCACACCATCCTTGGGAATGCTCTTCCCATGTAACGCCCAAGGACAGTGCCAGCTGCCATGGCGCAGCGCTGTACCTGGAGCAAGATATCACCTTGTCCAGTCGCGGGAGAGCATCTGAGTTCTTAATTCATGGCAGAGACGTTGTCCATGTGTCTGAAGTTGGTCTTGACCATGGCACCGCAGCCAGAAGAGCCAGCTCAGTGCACAGGGAGGGAGCAGGGTGAGTGCTGCAACTTGGGAAACCTCCTCTTTCACTTAAAACCCCAGTTGAGCACATTGAAGTGGAACCACTGAACCACAGGACAATTGCAGTCTTTTTGCAGTCCAGAAACACAATATATTCAAGGGCTAGTTGCAGGGTTATCACTACAAAATTTCCACATTTCTGTAATTCCAAGTTTACACATGTAAATTACGGGCAGATGAGGAGATAGATATTCAGTTTAGGCAAACTCTTTTCACCATCAAGTTCACTGCCAAAAAGCCAAACTGACCAACAAAAACAACTCCTGTTAGACGTAGGGGAGAATTAAGTAAAATGAACTTTTTTTTCTCTCAAGCAGTGCATTCCTTCCCTTTCTCTCTCTTGTTGGTATCATCTGGGTGTAGAGATAAATCCTCTCATTCATTCCCCCACGCATCCTTCATTGCTGGTAAGGCTAAGAACCTTTCCACAAGAAACAGAAAAAGGAGCTTTTTTTAGTAGTTTGAAAAATAACATGCTTTGACATACCGCTCCTGCCTTCTTTGCCATTTGGCAACATGTTGATTTTTTCCTTTCTGTCTCCTTTGGCGTGCAGGCCAGGACTGCTCTGGATTGTTTACCACTTGACAATTTAATTGCTTTTTATCAATAGTCTTGCTGATGAACTCATCAGCAGAGGATTTATGCAAAGCTACTCAGCTTGCGAGCTGTAGGAAATAGCTGCCCAGGCTGAGAAGTTCACCTGGCAGAATCACACAAAATCATAGGATGGCTGAGATTGGCAGGGACCTCTAGAGACCACCCAGTCCAACCCCCCTGCTCCAGCAGGGACACCCAGAGCACGTGGCACAGGGTGGCATCCAGGCGGGTTTGGAAGATCTCCAGAGAAGGAGACTCCACAGCCTCTCTGGGCAGCCTGTGCCAGGGCTCTGGCACCCTCACAGGAAAGAAGGTCTTCCTCACACGGAGGTGGAACTGCCTGTGTTTCAACTTGTACCCATTACCCCTTGTCCTGTCACTGGCCACCATGGAGAAGAGTTTGGCCCCATCCTCCCTACACTCTCCCCTCAGGTACTTGTACATACCAATCAGATGCTTGACTGACACTTGACTGTAGTTTCAAGCCATGATTCAAGTGAGGGACAAGTCAGCAAAGCACCATCAGGGTGTGCTCAACGAAACTGAGCAGAAATGTGGAGATGTCCCTAACCTGTCAGTGCTGTTTAAATCCAAAGATTTGGGATGCCAAATGGAAAGTGGGCTGATTTCAGAAATCTGGAGCACATGGGATCTCAGGTCAGTATATGCAATAGGTAAAACATGACTATTACTCAATAGGTGTGAGCAGTTTGCTAATCAGAAGTGAAATGCTTGTGGTTTCCTCCCATATCCCATTGCTACAGACCTCTGTTTTAGAAGAGTTTTAGCTCTGCTGATGGCAAGAGCAGGGCAGGCATTAGCTATTGGCAGTTGGTTTCAAAGTCTGGTCAAGTAAAAGAGCATTGGAAGCACTTGCCCTGCTGGGAGCTGGACCCTGGAATAAACCTTTGCTGATGGTTTGCTGACATGCTCGTGGCATGTAAGATGTGTGGTTTTCAAGTAGAGTCATGGTGGAGAGTCTAGAGCAAAGGCTGTTGCCCACCTGGTGGCAACCTCATGATGAATATATCGGCTCAGCCTTGCTAGAAGGGACGAGACAAAGTTACCCAAGAGGCATTCAAAACCCAGGGCAAGGGGAGCCCCAAAAAACAGCACAAAAACAACACAAGGATGGTGGATCCTCCAGCACTAAAGGAGCTCGGCTAATGGAGCCATCCTTAAAACATTAAATCTCCATGTTCCTTTTCATTATAAAGTGAAACGGAGAATGTTTTAAGCTAATGAGAAACAAACACACTAACTTCAATGGACGTGGGGTCAAGTCCATGTGTCTTAACTAGGACAAACTCACGTACTGAACAGGTCTGATAAACCAGCCGCAACGTGTCCTGCAGCCCCTGGGGCACCAAGCTGGAAGTGTGAGGTGAGATAAGAAAGACCAA